GTATTTCAACAATATTTGGGGTTTTTTACAATCTGAATATAAATCACTTTATCTACATTCATATTACATTAATATCTGGCTTGGACATTACATTAATATTTGGTTTTATATACATTAAGTCTATTATAAGGTTTCATAGAATAGAGTCATGCGTCCTTTAACAAAAGATGCTGCAGTCTCATTTGATATCAACTAAGATCGTGACAGAATAAAATAGCTGTTACCTAAACGAAACATCCTGATTGTATAAACTATAAAACAGATGACGCAGAGAGACCTAAACTAGATCATTTCGGGAATAAAATTTATTTGAATATTTCCACATGAGCGTAAGGGTCTTTAAAGGTGTGAGGAAACGCATGGGCGTCACACATGGGGAGTCCGGACCCCCCCCCCCCACCCAATTGTTTTTCTGTGGGGATCTGAATATACTTGGATCCTCCCAAAATTTACATGAAATGAAATGGGGTTTAACGTCCTACTGTTCTGCTCCTATGCTGGGCTAATGAAGACGGGCCTACGACATACAGTGTGTTATGAGGGAAATTCTGCCCGGGCAGCGGCACTATCGCCTACTCTTGTATCGAATTCCAACTGCCAATGGATTTTTTACGTGCATTCCAATGTATACACGGGACCTCGGTTTTTCGTCTCATCCGAAAGACTAGACAGCTGTCCTTGTCAGGCCCTCCGTCCTGCATCACTGACAAGGGGGAACCACGCCGGAAAATCTGGATGAACTTTGTCGGCCAATGCAGGGATCGAACACCCGACCTCCCGGCTAGCGAGCCAGCGTGTTACCCACTTAGCCACGTGATCCCCAAAATTTACATAGTAGGCGCTAACTCCTATTTATTTACAACAATTATTAGGATTAGTTAAGATTCTATCTGTATAAAACCTGTACATATCCTAATATGTAGGTGTGATGTTTTAGTTTAACCCCGTAAAATATGCCAAAGCAGTGTTTACAGAAAACTGAAACTTTAAAAAAAAATTATGGGGGTGTCCCCCTCATCCCCAGTGTGAGGGTGACCCTCCCACACTTCGGCGTCACAGATTTTCAACATTTCATATAATTTCATTTGTGGCCCCTCCCCCACCCCCAATATATATTTCACGGCTACGCCTCTGAGGACCCGTAGATAACACACGAGGTTGGACAGGCGACCCTAGACTTATCACATACAAGCAGACCACCTATACACCCTTACAGCTGACGTAACATAACCATTAACAATACTATGTATATATAAGATGGAGCAAGGTATACATGGTTATCTATTTGTAAAATAAGTCCATCCTACCATGGCCCTAACGCTGACACATTTTCCATACATTTGTAAACGAGGTAAAAAGTAATCTTACAAATTTAGCATAGTCGGGTTTTATGTATCGTGTATAAAGGTGGAGCCCCCCCCCCCCCATTCACTCCCTTCATCCACCCCCTTCATCCCTTACACCTAAAGTTAGACTCTTTCTTCGCATAATTTACTTAAAGGGGCATAAAGAGCGGACAGTTAACGCTATAATAGTTCAAAATAGATAATGAAAACAAAATATGCTGAAAAGTTAAAAGTTCATTCACCCTGGACCCAAGATATTAGCGATTTAATTTTAAGCTAGTCTCGGTCGTCATTACGAACGTTGGTATGATAACAAAGTCTCGGTCATCCATTTTTATGTTAAATTATCCATCACAAAATGTATTCAAATCCATTAAATAACGCGGAATAACGATGCATTGAGAGTTGATTATGGATTTGTCATGTTAATATATGCCTATTTAATAGTTTATATAACATTTAAACATGCATTATGCAAGAGCTAAATCTGCCTATTTCAGGTCTTTCTTAAGGCCTGAAATGTTATCTAAATTATTAATTAGACATTAATTAACCTATCCAGGTCATAATCAACTCTGGATGGCAGCGCAAGCCTGCGATCTTTAGTGGATTGTAAGCCGATTTACTGCATAACTTTCCTTCTCGATTAAATGGATAATCGAGACTATGCTGTTTATCGTACTGACTTTAGTAATGATGACCGAGGCTTATGGGAATTTCAGTCGCTTAGTTCTCGGTTCATAGTGGATCAATTTGAATGAAATTTTCACCAAATTGCCTTTACATTATCTAGTTTTTAACTACTATAGTGAGAACTGCCAACTCGTTACCGAATCTCCCATAATGTATCTTTAATATATAAAGATTCCAGGGGAAACACTGGCGATGTCACGTTTTCTGACTTTTGAGTAAATGGAAATTTCCAGTTTAAACACTCATTTATTCATGCATTTAGTGAGAGCATTAATTAAGCTGGTGCACACTCCCGTAGCATTCCTATAGTGTATTTTGGGCATTTTATTTGACTGACCATGGTTTGGACATCACCTTTTTTTCCCTTTTATGCCTTTTAAAAAACCCTCCGTAGAGAGAGGCACGTCCAGTTGTTCCATACAATATTTATGGAGAAAAAAGAAGGGACCAAGGGGTAAAATCAGGGGAAATAATCGAACAAAAGCATAAATGTGGACATCATCAGTTTTCCCCTGTGGTCTTCATATGTCTATTTAATAGTTTATATAACATTTAAGATCTAAAGGAAGACCTGCTATGGGCAGATTTAGATCTTGAATAGTGCATATTTAACTCTGTTAAAAGGAAAAATATTGCAACGATACCATTGATATTTAAGGTGTCTCTTCTTTGCGACTAAATGGAATAACCCTTGAATTCGATAAAAGTGTCAAAACGTTATTAACTTGTGGACGCCACATGTATACGGCATTACAAAAGCTATTCTGCGTTTGCTATATGAGACACATGAGGGCTCAGTGAGGTCCCGGTATTTACGGAGATTTTCCGGCGTAGTTCTACCTTCCCAGTGGTGTAGGACGGGAGCCTGGCAACGGACAACGTAAAGTCGTTCGGCTGTGAAAAAAACCTAAGTCTTGTGTACACATTGGTATGCAGGTAAAAGAACCCTTAACAGCTGGAAATCGAAATAAGACCTCAAGTTATTCCGGGCATAGAATATATCCCAAAGATCAAAGAGGTTTACCGTTATAGGTTTATAATGTTGAGAAATTGCTGACTAATAGGTAGGTTAATTTTAGTCCCAATGATATATTGTTGAGTATTCCTACAGTAAACATGTGGATCGTGTTTTACCGGAGATAAAATACCACCCTGCGTTTCCTGACTAACAGTAACATGTATTTAACTCAAACTGCACGCAGCGATCCATCTACGTCATACGTCATTATGATCACTGCCCCAATTAGCCGCCATTTAAAACGCTCACGTGATCATTTTGGGGCGGGACTTATCGACGGGACTACAGCTTTGTGTAAACAACAGAGTAAAAATAACCCAAGAACGCACGTGTTTTATGTAAACACGTGTCTTTAGCAAAATGTCAACTTCTGCCAATCCGGTAAAAGCGATATATAATATGCACTAGTGGGTAATATTGCAATAAATTCTTTGCCATTGTAAACTATCTTTAGAGTTTCAATCTGTTTATCTTTCAAAACAAGGTTAGATACTCCTAAATTTGTCTTCGCAAACAAAACCGCCTCTGTGAAATTACCTTTTATGGGCGCCGCCATATTGAATAATTAGAGGACTATTTTGTGATTCGGCTTTGATTAGTTTGACATCTTTCATACACACAGCGGTTAAATTAACATATTTAATTTCATTCAATACTTCTAAAAATTACTAAAAGCAAACTCAGTGTTTTCGACTAAAATCGTCGATGTAGGAATTACAATGTCGGGTAATTAGCTTAGTGCCTGTTCTCAGACGTAGCTAGCTGTAGACAGGCAGCCTAAGTGTGGGATGGTATTTAACTGGGATAAAAATAGCACCCTGCGTTTCCTAACTAACTGTAACATGTATTTATATCATCACATTCGATACATTTTAATGGGTAATGTCTAAGATTGTTTACCAAAATATAAATTGAAATGAAATGGGGTTTAACGTCCCAGTGGACGAATGAAGACATGAATATGGTCGGTATACACTGTACTATGAGGGACATTTACCCGGACAGCGGCGCTACGGTCTACTCTTTCGAATTCCAATGTGTACACACAGGACCACGGTTTTTCTTCCAATTCGAGCGAAAAGACAATGTTCCTTGCCAAACACAACTGACAAGGGGGAACACCCGAGGAACTTTCTGGGCCAACACCAAGGTCGATACCGAGACATCCACGTTTGCGAGCCAGTTCCTTTAATCACTCTACAACCCGGGCTCCCATTTAATAAAATAAACATTAAATCTAATACTTTCACAATTTCAGACAAGATACCAAGAATAAGATAGACAATAGAAAAGGGGGACATGGTCAGTGAGCTCATCCTTCATCGGAAACGTTGAATGTAGATATTAATGGGCCAGAGAGAAGAAATATACCAACTATTGTTTTACACGTAGAATACAATGGGGATGAATGTTTGCGCTTTCTGTCTCTTTCAAACATGACATTATATTTACCATTTGTCAGACGTTACCATGTTTATAGTGATAAAAGCATAACTTTTTTTGTCAATATGATCATATAATTCCAAAATTCGGCCGGTCTGATAGAAGGCAACTACGAGCTGGAACCTGTTCTTGAATTATGGACTCGTACTGCAGCGATTTTACATTACCCTCGTTACAAGGTCAATAATATTACCCTGGCGTTACAAGAACAATAATATTACCCTGGCGTTACAAGAACAAGAATATTGCCCTCGCGTTACAAAAACAATAATATTACCCTCGCTTGACAAAATCAATAATATTACCCTCGCGTTACAAGAACAATAATATTACCCTTGCGTTACAAGAACAATAATATTACCCTTACGTTACAAGACCAATAATATTACCCTTATGTTACAAGACCAATAATATTACATTGGTTTAATAACGTAAAATAAACATAATAAAAATTAATACAAAAAAGCATTATTTAAGAGCTAAATCTTCATAGTGCGGGTAGTTTTCTAGATTCAAATGTTATTTACATTTACGCCATCGGATGGTCTTGATATTGAATGACTTAGACCACTTTAGCCATTAAATGATTTAACGATAATCGAGACTTCATTCAGTATCGTAACAATTGTACTTGACAATTAAGACTATCTTGTGAAAACTTCAAACACTCATAGAACTTTTATAGAACTGTCCAAATAGAACATTCTTGACAAATAGTCTCAATTTTAATTTTGTTTTAAATATATTCTTATATTTTTCATGTATGGAGGGAGAACAGTGGTAAAAGGTCTTAAAATGCACTTGTCACAAACCAGCGCCCTAAAGAAAGATAGGGTGTCAAATAACAAGCGATGCATCGCCATTTACTTCAGTTCCTAACATACTGGCAGCTAATTCCTTTTCATCAACAGCATCACCAGATCTGTAATAATACATAAAATGACTTAACTAAACTTCAAATGTCTAGCAAAATAACATTTATAAAATTATACTTCACCGAAATAACATTTATAAAATTAAACTTAAAATTTAAATGTCTACTAAAATGCAAGCATGACTGAATCGCCACTGTCTCAGAATTGTGACGTCATATCAAAAAATGGAAGTCTATCTCTCGATGCGCAATTTTCCAAGGAAGCTAGGACTGTAAAGAAAGTTATGTAGAAATTATAAAAGTTTGACTAAAGGAAGCAAGGATATGATCAGTTGTCATTTGCTCCCGTTTTATGGAGTTTTACCGTCCACCATTAGGGAGGTGGGGGTGGATGGCCGAATGATCGCGCTTGTGCGCTGTATCATAAGGTCTGTCATTGAGTCAACTGGCGTGGTTTCGATTCCCCGGTTGTCAGGTTGTCCGTGACAAGGAGTAGGGTTACCTGTCCAACCTCTTGGGGTTTTTTTTTATCAAAAAATAAAATTGAACCATATCTCTCCGTCCACCATTTTGAGCATTTACAATCATCTGAACTGAGAAAAGTTAATTTGTTACAAAAATACTCATAGATAAATCAAATGGACTGAAAATACAATATTGTTGAAAACGTTGCCGCGCACTTCCCGTTCTTTCATCCGAACAACAAAATGTTAAAGATCTTCTCGTTGGCTAGAATGACAAACGATCCACCGCGGACATGAATTTCATTCAATATTGCCACACGTTAAGAGAAGGGGTGAGTTGGGAGGGGGGCTATCTGTAAGGAAATAATATTGGCAAGCTCACCCGTCTCCTAATCGTTCAGCATCTTCAACAGTATCTGGTAGATTCTGATGAAATGTTTCTGGCAGCAGAAATAAGGTCAACACCAGAGCAATTATACACACAATACAGAATAAAATGAATGGCGAAACCTCTTCAAATCTACCTGGCATTAAACTACCCTGAAAGGATAAAAACAAAACTAATAGTGAGGCAGATAACTGTAACATGAAAATTACTTGTGTTTCGCATTGAATAACACAAAACTGTTGCCTGTTATGCGTTCATACGTCCACAAATAGGGGGTTTGGGTAACGCTGAATATCTATAGGTCCTCTCATGACCGCAATGCTTTAAACCAAAATAGGGGGTTTGGGTACCGCAATACTTTAAACCAAATTTGAAAAAAAAAAAATAATAGTTTACAAGATTATCGGAATAAGGAGACGCGGCTCTGGAACAAAAGGACGAGGAACGCGAGGTGTGAATAAGATTCGTCCTCTCATGGTTCACACCAAAATTGAAACAATCTGTTTATAACTGTAGCTTGTATCGGGTTCACAGGGTTTTCGTTATTGGTTTGGCCACAATGTTTCAACCCAAATTGAGTGCGCTGGGTAACTCTGGAACAGAACGTTGGATATCGATAGAATTGGTCCTCTCATTGTCCTCGCTTTCACGAGGTTTTCGACAAAGGGAAAGTCGCACAAAGCTGAATATTTGATCAAAATGCTTCACATTAAATTTTAAAACTGCAGCCTCTATCGCGTTCACGGGTTTAATATCGATATGTTTCTGTCTCTCAATACTTTACGGATGGGCAGGGGCGAAGACACAATACGCACATATGGTTTATAAAAAAAAATCTTTAAGTTTGATGCGGTGTCGTGGTTTCATTCCCCACACCACACCCAGCCGGTTTTCCGACCTTGAATATTGTAGCTTACTAAAAGTTTTAAATAAGGTGCAACCACTGATCCGATTCTTGCTGAAGCAGAACTTGTACCAGTACCAACATTTCTTAATTCGGTTGGGAATAGTTCACTTGTCCATAACCAGCATAAGGCAAAAGCGCCGTTAATTCCACATTGACCCAAGAGAGTAAAACACGTAATAAGCCACTTGACATCTGAAAACAAAACCAACCAGAAATTGTTTTCCATCATCTTATAGTAAACCGAATTCCACTGCTTCAGAAAAGCTTGAACAAAGATGCCAGAAGGGAAATGAAATGAAATGAGGTTTAATGCCCTATTTTTCAGCTCCGACTGGTCAAATGAAAACGGGGTGTCAGAATTGTGTCCTTGGCCAGGACAAAGGGGCGTCTATCTTTCTATTGGCTATCTGCTTAACGTGCGTGTCTATTTAGTTATGGGTAGGGCCATGTCACTCCTCTTTATAGGAGTTTCTTGAAACCGGAAGAGGTATAACTCCGAAACCGGAAGCGGTAATGCAGAACCATCAAACCTAAGTCACTCCCGTGCTCGAGTTGCTTTTATACCCCACATTCCATCCTCCGAGCTGCACTAGTATAGCCGTCAACCCAGAACAAACAAACAACAGTTAGTAATATATATAAGTTAGAAGGTTGACATGATATAGTTAGTAAATACTTCGGATCATACCTGGTGGTGTGTATAATATAATTAATATTACAGCTATTAAAGCTATACTCCCCAGTAGAAAACAGCCACACAGAAGTCTTTTTCGTCCTAACCGTTCTACCGTTAATAAAACTACTATAACACAAACGGCTTCCACAATCGTTGCTAGAACAAGATTCAGGTATATGTCTCCAACTAACGACTCTAAATTTAACATAATTCCAAAATAAGTGACACTTGTTGCAAACCTGCAAAAAAACATGATCAATTTTAGTAACCCGTTGCGGGTGATTGACGTTGTTCTTTGACAGACCTTCTACCATGCGCCACTGAAAAGGTGTGGATTATCTAATCTCTATCATCTCAAGCGCGAGAGACTCTTCACCTATCTTTGATGGAAATTACCCGACCTCTTCTCACAATGGTTTTGTTAATTCAGCTTCACTCGGCCTATGTTTTGCTCTACTTTAAAATAAACTGGTTCTGAAAATTAATACTGAAATTATTGGAATTGATATTCTTTTGTGTTTTCTCAACGTTAAAATGTAATCTGTAAGCTGTAGAGATGTTGCCAGTGGCAGAGCATCGTTTTCATGTACCTCTTCTTCATGCAAACGGATCTATTTGATATGTCTAATCTCCCCGGTAACAGATCATCTATTTGATTTGTCTATTCTCCCGGTAACAGATCATCTATTTGATTGGTCTATTCTCCCGGTAACAGATCATCTATTTGATTTGTCTATTCTCCCGGTAACAGATCATCTATTTGATTTGTCTATTCTCCCGGTAACAGATCATCTATTTGATTTGTCTATTCTCCCGGTAACAGATCATCTATTTGATTTGTCTATTCTCCCGGTAACAGATCATCTATTTGATATGTCTAATCTCCCCGGTAACAGATCATCTATTTGATTTGTCTATTCTCCTGGTAACAGACCATCTATTTGACATGTCTTTTCTACCTGGTACCAGATCATCTATTTGATGTGGCTATTCCACCTGGTACCAGACCATCTATTTGATGTGTCTATTCTCCCTGGTAACAGACCATCTATTTGATGTGTCTTTTCTACCTGGTACCAGATCATCTATTTGATGTGGCTATTCCACCTGGTACCAGATCATCTATTTGATGTGTCTATTCTCCCGGTAACAGACCATCTATTTGACATGTCTTTTCTACCTGGTACCAGATCATCTATTTGATGTGGCTATTCCACCTGGTACCAGACCATCTATTTGATGTGTCTATTCTCCCTGGTAACAGACCATCTATTTGATGTGTCTATTCTACCTTGTACCAGACCATCTATTTGATGTGCCTCTTCTACCCGGACATTTATGTATTTTCTAAATTGATAAGGACAGCGATAACTTACCACATGAAATAAATAACAAAAGTTCTTAGACACCGTTTCTTAGTTGAACACAGTTTCCAGAATTTAGCAGTAGTGATATTTGCTGGAACTTTTATTGTATTAATAACTGCTTCACTTATTATTTTCTTGTTGACTTCAGCAACTTTGGTTATTATTTTCCTGGCCTTGACCTTATAACCTTTAGTTAATAACCAACGTGGACTTTCTGGAATTATTCTGTAAAATGAGTATATATTGCAGTCATGATTAATTTTATTCTACAATGTTTTTGTATTCGGTTCTATGTGGTTAGGTAACCAAACCATTAGATACGCAGAACTCACAAATCCAAAACTATCATTAGCGAGAGAGAGAGAGAGAGAGAGAGAGAGAGAGAGGGGGGGGGCGGTTAACGTCCACCCTGACCCAAACTAGGTCATTTCGGGACTAACACATGTCACGTAAAAGCAGGGAATGGAAACCATGCCAGTTGACTCAATGACAGACCTTATGATTCAACGCGCACGTGCTAACCATTAATTTTGTTACACAGGACAGTCGTATTCCTTTTTAGACTTCTTAGTAATACAGAATGTTTGTTACTGTGGTGTATTTTTACAATCAGATTAAAACACAGATCCTATTTCGTTTCGTTTTTTATAGTTCAAAATTAAGTTTACTTGTCTTTACTGCCCGCGTTCTGGATGATGTGAGAGATTAGCCAATGAAACGGCCTGTTTTTGGCGTGAGTTGCACGAAACTGTGGGTAACCTAATAGAAACATCAACGCGGATTGGGTAATCAAATGTCTGACGCCATAGGGTCAAAAGGCGCTCTTACGCTCGTATGACCTATGACGCGACCTCCAGCTACAACTGGTCAGATCCTCATGTAGTAGAGGTCATCGAAGGTATTAAAAAACGAAACGAAATATAGATCTGTATAAAATCACATGAATGGTATTATTTTACAGAAAACACTTAAAAGTAACTTACAGAAAAAAGAACAAGAGATGCGTTGAAAAGATAGCAGCAGTAAGATGTAAATATCGCCAATTTCTGATGAGATAGCCAAATAATGAAATCATGAACAAACCAAGACACCATGTTAAGTTAGATATTACACCAGTGTATCGTCTTTTAGATGGACCAACAAATTCTACCCCTATAAAGATAACAAATATATACATGCAAAATCGTTCTTTACTTGAAATAGTATAAATCGACTAAACCGGACATGACGTCATCGCAGCCATCTTGGAATTATGACAGATACCAGAAAGTTCAAGTCTTTGGTGTAAGTAGTCATCTATACAGTCCCAAATACATTTCTGGGCCAACAGTGCCACACAGTGTCCTATGAGGCCAGCACCGGGGGGATTTGCTTGCGGGCGAAAAGGTCACTCAAAAGTGCGTTATTTCGTCCCTTGAGCTTGGCCTATGATGTCCGCTAGTAAAGTAATAAAATATAGGTTTTAAAAGATCAAGACTGTTTAATCTTTGGGTTACATTAGGCCGTAGATAAAAAACATAGTGAATTTACATAAAAGGTACATTAGGCCCAATCAGATTTATCTATAAAAACAAATCATGAACAAACCAAGACACCATGTTAAGTTAGATATTACACCAGTGTATCGTCTTTTAGATGGACCAACTAATTCTACCCCTATAAAGATAACAAATATATACATGCAAAATCGTTCTTACTTGAAATACTATATGCACTGGACATGACGTGATCACCGCCATCTTGGAATTATGACGAATACTCGAACGTTCAAGTCTATGGTGTAAGTAGTCATCTATCCAGTCCTAAATACATTTCTGCACCAACAGTGCTATACAGTGTCCTGTGAGGGGAATTGTGTCTGGCCAGCGGTGCCTACTCTTATTTCGAATTCACACTTTCTAGGCCAGCGCCGGGAGGGATTTGCGAGTGCGAAAAATTCACTCAAAAGTGCATTATTTGTTTATTGATCAAGACTGCTTATTTCGAGTTACATTAGGCCGTCGATAAAAAAAAATATTGAAATTGCATAAAAGGTACATCAGGAACAATCCGATTTGTCTATTAAACAAATCATTTACAGAATGTAAAATATAAATCAGAGTAAATTTAAACCTACCAATTATATAGCAAGTAAGAGCCTGTCCACTTATAGAAAGTCCAAGAAAAAACCTTAATACTAATAGTACTATGTAATTAGGTGACCAAACCATCAGATACGCACAAATTACAAACACATAGTTCGATACTACCATTAACGGTTTACGACCAAATCTGAAAATAAGTCGAGCTTATAGAAATATATGGTCATTTGGTAATGATTAAATATATTCAAAATGAACTAATTTCAAAATGAACTAATTTCAAAATTAACTAATTTCCAATCTCGTTATTTTTTTATATTTACTATAATAATATTATAAGATATTCAATTTGAAATGAGCCTCGGTTTCGAACAATAGTAGCTGAGTGCTTTCCTTGGGCCTCCATCGCAGTTAGAATACGTTGGGATCAATCTATCACAGACCGACGATGTTTCAAACTTCGCTACAATTACCCGGGTTTCCAAATCCACTCCAATTTTAGATCACAACATATATATAATATAGATCACAACAAATATATAATCGATATATTTTGTCATTTGCAGATGGGTCTATTAAAAAAATAAACAGAGAGAGAGAGAGAGAGAGAGAGAGAGAGAGATATTGGATTTAACGTCCACTCGACACAAAGCATGTCATTTCGGCACTAACATATTGCTCAATTTTATTTCAATAATTCGCTTGCGCGTATGGGTCTTTAGCAGTGGGAGGAAACCGGAGGACTGGGAGAAAACCCAAGACGTTGGACAGGCGGCCCTACTCCTTGTCACGTACAACCGGGGATTCGAAACCTTGCCAGTCGACTCAATGACAGGGCTTATGATACAGCGCGCATATGCTAACCATCCGGCCACCCAATCCCCCCCACCAAAAAAATAAAAAAAACAGACACACTCGTGTAGAGCCCACGTGAGCTGATTGCATATTTAACAAGATCAACAATCAACTAGGTTAAGGCTATTTATATTTTTCAGTGGGTGGGAGATGAAGTTTGAAAAGTAACCAAATCAAAACTCATCTTTTTTAATTTACCATAAGAATTTAAGATAGTTTTTCTAGAGAGCTTTTCTTCTGAAAATAGAATTATATAAACTTACAGATCAGCTACATTACCCAGAAGGCCATATCCAAGTAGTAAACCCAGAAATAGAATCATTACAGCATTACTCTCCAGTACAGCATTATCACAAACCATATCAAACTGTTTCAATATAAACAAACATTATCACAAACCATATCAAACTGTTTCAATATAAACAAACATTATCACAAACCATATCAAACTGTTTCAAAATAAATAAACATGCATTATCACAAACCATATCAAATTGTTTCAATATAAACAAACATTATCACAAACCAGATCAAACTGTTTCATAATAAATAATACCCCTTAAACATACATTATACAAGACCTAATTCTGCAGGGTTTTTTAAATTATTAATTAGACATTATTTAACTTATCCAGACAATAATCAACTTTCGATGCCATCGTTAGCCTGTTATATATAGTGGATTTGAATATTATGTCATTTCGGGAATAAAGTATGATCTAGCGCATACGGATATTTGGAGCACCATTTGACTCAATGGTAGATCTTAGGATCTAAAGGGCGTGCGTTCAACTTTAATGCTAGTGATAAATCACACCCTCAGTGTCAAAGGTCAGGGTATATTATCGACATGCGTATTACCTCAGTGACAAATGACGTGATAAACTATCGACATGATTATCACCTCAGTAACAAGTAACATGATAAACTATCGACATGCGCATTACCTCAGTGACAAATGTTGATGTAAAGATGGAGGTATCATATACCCAGGAACTACACTTGTATTCTAATGATGTCACATTACCATATTTATCAACTGTAGTATTACGTATAAGACAGCTAGAGGATTGTGGTATAGATTGATTTATTAGGTAACCATGGTAATCGTTTTGTTGATGGTAGGTGTCGTTTTTATATCCTGGTATTGCACATCTGTAAAATATAAACATTCCCCTTACTCAATTATTAAAATAAAAATCTTGATTCCATAAAACAAGTAGTTATGTAAACATTCTTAAAGCACAGTCCAGTTTAATCCAATCTAAATAAAATACAAATCTATATTTCGTTTCGTTTATATATACTTTCGATGGCCTTCACTGCTTAATGATCTGACCCTCTGTAGTGGGAGGTCGTGTCAGCAGTCATACGAGCGTCGTTTTTTCCCCATGTAAGCAGTCGTCAAATACACGTGCAGCAAACGAATTCTGTAAAATCGAGTAACGACGACATCAAATGAACTCGCCAAATGGACGGCGATATCATGTACCCATGAAATTCTAAGTATACTCTGTCTTTCGCCCGATTCCCGCCATTACCGTCGTGGTGTAAGCCGAATCCGATAAAGCGGAAACATCAGGTTGATTAACTTAACGATCGCAGACATAGACATATTATAGACATCAACATTATCGTGATGGCGACTTAACGATCGCAGACATAGACATATTCTAGACATCAATATACATTGTAATCGTGATGGCGACTTAACGATCGCAGACATAGACATATTATAGACATCAATATTATCGTGATGGCGACTTCGGAATTTTTTAAATGCAGACTTTTAAAAAGTCTGTAGGCAAATCCCTATTTCATGCAACGTGCCCAAAAGTCATCATAAAATGAGAATGCTCTGGCATAACTCAAAGCAGGGAAGCATATACCCATTCCGATCTACATGTTTTTTGTTTATTTTAAAATATTAATTTACATGTACCTGTGTGATGGCGTTGCCATGGTAAATATTGAAATCAGTAGAAACAGTCCAGATGTAATTGGCTGCATACATGTCACGGCAAATATTCGTTTCTGATACCACCCAAACTCTCCTATCTTCTTCAACAAATCATCATACATCATCTTGAGTATTCTGTCAACACAAGCAACAAGACAACTAAATACAATATGCACGGATATTGGGTCCCCATGCATAATATATTGTAATAAACAGGTGACTATTATTATGAACCCCTAAGCCCTCTCATAACAGAAGTGTATATGACCTATATTGAAGAATCTGTCCTAAAGTCTACGCCTAACCGACCTATAACATGGATTAGAAAAGTTGATGACATATTTGCCATTTTAGAACCAGGTCAGAATCCACAGCACCTTCTTGAACACCTCAATAGCATCCACCCTCGAATGAAATTTACTGTAGAATTAGAAAAAGACAACCAATTATCTCTCCTAGATGTATTAGTAATCAACTCCGCAGATAACCTAAAAACAACTGTTTACCGCAAGCCAACCCACACGGACCAATACATACATAATAGTTCTAACCATCCAACCAAAGTCAAAACTGGAATCATAAGTACCTTAACAAGACGCGCAAAATTAGTATGTCCTGATGATCTACTCGACGCTGAACTACAGCACATCAACCACGTCCGTACAGAATATAACAACTACCTTGTCAACACAGTTAAAACAACCATGAAGAAAACTCTCACGCATACATGCATAACACCCGATGCCATTACAAGAAATCGCCCGGTATTTATCACCATCCCATTTATAGGACCAGCTAGCCACCATATTAAAAGAATTTTAACAGAGCAAATCGGCACAGAGGTAGTATTCAGCAGCGGAACCACACTTAAAACTATGTTAAAAGCTGGTGGTAGGATACAAAAACCAAGAGATGATCCAAAGGGTGTTGTATACAAGATAAATTGTGAGTGCGGTGGGGCGTATATTGGAGAAACATCCCGAACGATTTCAGTGAGAACAAAAGAACATCACACGGCAGTTATAAAACAAGAATATAATTAATCAGCAATAACAGAACACATCTACTAAAACCCAAAGCATAAAATCAAATGGGAGAACACAGAAATACTAGCCAGAAATTTATCAACATGGAAAAATAGAATTCTACGAGAGGCGCTAGAAATTCAAAAACATAAGCCAAAATTCAATAGGGACTCGGGACATTTTCTCCCTAATCTTTG